CGGTCTCCCAGTCGAACGTTGCGCAGGAGATCGAGGAGGTCGTGCAAAAAGCGGAGCGCGCAGTGAAGCGCAAGAAGCCCGCGGGAGTGAGCCGCTGCTAGGCCTGTCCTCCGACTCTTCCGACGACGAGTGCAAGCCGGCGAAGAAGGGCCGGAAAAAGAACACGGAGAAGGAGGAGAAGAAGCAGCGGCAGAAGGCTGAGGCGAAAGCCAAAGCCAAAGCGCTGAAAGAGTGCAAAGCCGCCGACGACGCAGCGGCAAAGGCAGTGGCGGCCTTCAGGCCTTTGCTGGACAAGCTGCGCGCAGCCGTGGGGAACCTCGGTCCTCTGGACCCCGCGGCCGCTGAGGTGCAGGCCGTGCAGAAGCACCTCGACGAAGTCTCCGCCTGGCAAGATGCGGCGGCCGCCCGCGTCAGCAAGTTCACCAGCGGCAAAGCCGCGCCCCCCATCCCCTTCGGCGCCAAGGACGTGCCGCTCAAGGTGAAAGCGGCCAACAGCGCCCTCGCGGATTTTCGGAAGGCAAAGAAGGAGCAGGCAAAGCTCCGTGCACATGACTAGTGCGTGCCTGCGTATATAAGCCGCGCTGCGCCAAGCATGGCACGAAGAGGCCCCTTTTCGCAGCACCTATATGCATGCATCCCCCCGCACGATATATATAGTGTCATGCGTGGCCAGCCATCACGCGCGCAGCGTGATTGAGAGTGCGCGATTTCGAGATCGAGAAAAAGGCGTATGTGTATAGCGGACATACTCGCGCACCCATGCGTGTCATGTGCAGGCGTGCGGCATTGCCGCAGCATCCGCATGAGGCTCGAGCTGTTTGAGATCGACTGGCTTGCTCCCAGCCATGGCATGGCAGTACGCCGTTTTGGACGTGGGCACGCCGCTCGATCTCTCCATGCTGCAGCGCCCGGAGCCGATCGACTTCATGACCGTCGGCGAGAGAACTTGCGCAAGGCTGAGTGCTGCTGCAGTCGGCACGACCATCAAGTTCGCGGTGAGCTGGACTGAGGTGCTGGGTATGAAGGTCAGGTGCATGGACGGCGACTGCATGCTTTTGGTCAGTAAGACGGACATGCACACCCCGATCTACGCCGAGCGGACCCCGCAGAAAGCATGTCTGGTGGAGCTCGTCGTCGCGCACCCCGTTGCGCATGTGCGCGTGTACAGCATGGCCGGCACAGACTGGGCCAAGTTCGACATGGACCTGCAGGCAAAGATGCTGCAGCTGCGGACGCGCTGCTTGGATGAGTGCGTGCACCTATCGGAGCCGGAGCGCAACGTCGCAAAGGTGGTCGTGGCGCGCGTGGGCGAGCTCTGCAAGGACGTCCACCGCAAGAGCATCCTATCCTTCGCTCGGAGCTTCTTGCACGACCAAGCGGAGGCCGCTGCCGCCGCTGTGACTGCGGCTGCTGCCGCAAGGGCTGCGGCTGCTGCCGCGACCCTTAAGAGATCCAAGCCGTCTTCCAAAAAGCCCCAGAAGCCTGCAAAGGCGTGAAGAAGCGCCCAGAGCTCTGCGCAGCGCCTATACGGAAAACAGCGCGTCGCTGCTTTGCTTCGCATGTGCTTCGCGGCCACGCCGCGCGATTGTGGCGCGCGTGCCTGGCCCTGCTTTGGCGGAAGCGCTTTGCAAGAGGCGTGCTTGAGCGTGCGGCCACGCCGCAAAGGTGTTTCTTCGCAGCTTTTGGCCCCGCAGCCTTTTCACTTTGCGCAGGGTGCGCCTGAGCCATGCCTGCGGATATGGGTGCTTCGCTGAAGCGCAAAAACGCATGCGCAGACTTCGACGACGCGCAGAAGCTGGCCGAGGCGGAAGAAAGCCGAAAGGCTGCAAAAGACGCCAAAGATTTGCGACGCCTGCAAGCGCAGACGCGCAGGCAAGTCATCCACCAGTGCTCGCGCATCACAGCGCGCCTCAAGCCAATCCTTGACAAGCTGGACAACGTGCATGCCTACACCGAGTGCTGCGACCCCGAGCTGCAGGCCACGATCATCAGCACCCGAGCCAAAGCGACACGGCGCTTTGAGGAGGCTCAGCGCGTCCTGCAAAAGGTGCGAACGGGCGACACGCATGACATGCGGGCCAGGCACCCAGCGCAGCTGTACGATGACGCCGCGTTCCACGCCTTCTGCGTGCAGCTGCTGCGGGATGTCACGAAGGCAGTCAGAAAGCTCAGGAGGCTGCAGTGAAGGCTTTGCATGCGCGCGCGGCCCAGTGCCGCGCCGTGTGCGCAATTCATGCACGCGGCCCTGCGTTCGCGGAGGGATTTCCTTACGTGACGACAGCGCGGGCGGGAAAACTGCATGTGCGACGGACGGCACGGCACGTGAGTTGGGCACTGCGTGTATTTATTTAAAAGTGTGCATATGTGGCATTTTTTGAATATATATATATATATATCATATATATATATATATATTTGTGTGTGTGTGTGTTTGCCAGCCTGTCTGCTCAAGATCTGCGCGGGCGCGCGCGATGGCATCTTCGAGTTCGAGGAAGCGAGCTTACGGCGACACGCTACAGGATGCCCTGCAGGTTTCGGGGTCAACTTCCGAGAGAGCGCTGCACCTCATCATGAACGCCGTGCAAAAAGACAGCAATGTTAGCACCAGCACGTTCAAGCGAAACGTGCGAAAAATTCTCGCCCCCGCAGCCGCGGTTTTCCGCGCAGAGAACTTGCCTGCTGCAGACGGAACGCACATCTCATGCATGATGCCCGACATCGCCGGCATCATTCGCTACATGGTGCGGTCGAGTGACCCCTACAGGAGGCTCTTTCTTGAGATGCTGGAGAAGCACGCTGGCCGGCTAAATCTGATCTTGTACCACGACGACATTCAGGGCGGCAACGTCTTGAGCCCTACACCGTCGAAGAAGGCCACCATGGTTTATTTCAGTTTCATGGAAATGCACCGCGCCTTCCTCCTCTCGCCTGCAGCGTGGTGTGTTTGCGGCTGCCTCGAGTACCAGCAAGGGCAGAGCCTGCTAGGCGGCCTGGCCGCTTACATGGCCCGAGTGGTGGAAGTGATTGCGTCGGACTGCCTGCAGCCTTTTAATGTTGGATGCCGTCTCGCATGCGCCTGCTCTATAGGAATGTTTATCTCAGACTTCGAGGCGCTGCGTGCAACTTTCAGCTGCAAAGGGTCGGCCGGACTGCTCCCATGCCTGTTCTGCGGAAATGTCCTGAAAAAGGACTCTGGCGTTGCTCTCGAAGGCACTGCTTTTGTGGAAATAGACGAGGCCGACACTGGCCGCTTTCAGATCGTCAGCGACAGCGACCGCTTCGCGCAGTGTGACGCCATGCTCGCGCAAGCTCGCAACATAACGAAAGCGGCTCTTGAGCGAGAGGAGCGAGCATGCGGCATCACACTGAACGAGCACGCCATACTGTTCAAGCCCATTCGCGAAGCGCTGCCGCCCAGTGTGGTCTTGGCAGACTGCCTGCACCTGTACTTTTCGAATGGCTGCGCAAGCTGGGAGCTCGCCATGGTCCTCTCAGCTGCTCGCGAAAAATCGGCCCTGGAGCTGGCTGACCTGCAAACTTTTGCACACACGCTGCAGTGGCAGCGGGCGGCGCACAATGAGAAGAAGTCGCCGGCGTGGCGCAAGGGTATGCTGTGCTCGAAGAAGTTCGCGGAGGATGGCTTCCGCGGCTCAGCCTACGAATGCCGCGCGCTCGTGCCACTTGTGCGCTTTTTTCTTCAGGAAGTTTGCAACAGTGATGCTTTGCGGCCTGAGGTCCGCAGCTTCAGTGCGCTTGCGGACATCTGTGCGGAACTTAGCAAACTGCTACGCTTGCCTGGTCGTGACCCCGAGCAGCTTGCCCGCCTGCAATCCGAGCACCAGAGGCTCTATATCGCGGCTTACGGCCGCGCTGCGTGCAAGCCAAAGCACCACCATCGCATGCATCTCCCGCTGCAAGCTTCTCGCCTGGGAGTGGTTTGCGGATGTGAGTCCATGGAGGCCAAGCATCGCGTGTTCAAGAACTGCATTGCGGACAGGGTCGGCCAGTTTGCGGGCGGAGGCATTCCCGCGGCGTCTCTGCCGCGCTTGCTGCTCTCGCATGTGCACGAGCTTGATCAGCATGACGTCTTCGAGCTGGGCCTGCGAAAGCCGACGGAGTGCTCAGCCCTGCGGCAGCACTTGCCGCGCGGGGATCGAAGCGTGCCTCTTGCGGCCAAAGAGGCCCGCTTGCCGCACGTTTCGGTCGCTTGCGGCGATGTGCTTCGCATGCGCGACGAAGCTTGCGTAGTGCGAGCTTGCTGCGACAACGGCAGCCTTCTCTTCATCGTGCAGGAGCTGCGCTTCGACCCATGCATGCAGCTGGCGGCTTTTGTTTCCCGTCTTTTTCTTTCAAAACCACATGTTGTCGTAAGTTGTACGCGTGCTGCGTGCATGCCTGCGTTGTAAGGTGCGCGCTTCAGCTGGCGCGTCGTGGTGGACGCTCAGCTCCAACGTGAAGACCGTGACGGAGCTGTGCGTCCGGGAGGCTTTGCACCCGTTCTGGTGGCTGTGGGAGACGGATCAGTCTCTGCTGTGCCTGGAGTGAAAAAGGTGCTTGCGCAGCCATGCCGCGTAAACAGCGCGGCTGTATACAGAATTATAGAACGTGCAAACTGATGTGTATATATATATATTGTTTATTATAAATCAAGCATTTTCTACTGCCGAAAGGTGCGGCTCAGCCGCGCAGTAACGCGAACTGTACACACTCCAACAAAACTCAAAACAATGAAATATACGCATATATAAACATCATCATTTACACTCAAAAAAAGCATTTTTAATTCAAACATCATGCTTTTCGCAGCTTTTTTCAAGCTAACACACTTTTAGCAGAAATGCCCAAATTTCGGATAACTAAAATAACTAAAATAACTAAAATAAGTAAAATGATAAGTCAAGTTAACTTCTACTAACTGCTATAGTCGACTATAACTCCATAACTGTTAGCGAACCCATGTTGTAGGATCTCTGGCATCTCTGGCTAATCGCACAGTGTAGGTACCTTACCTTCGACCCAGAGGCCAGTGTCGAGTTTGGAGGTTTCTATGAGCACATCTATGATGAGGAATTACCTGACCGACAACGTGTACCTGCGAACGCAAGACACTTGAGTAAGGTAGAGTTGCGAGATTGCGTGGACGATGCGATTGAACGTGCCAGGGAGAATCCCAACGTTGCCCTGAGCCAATGGTTTTGTGACAAGGGGACGATCAGAGGAACACCTCAGTTGATTTTGCCCTTGTCATTCAAGCTGCCGAGCCTGAACGTGGATGCCGGGCTTGTTTTGGACATCTACACTCGAGAAGATTCAGATGATTCTTTCAGTGCGGAGCAACTTCGAGTCATCTATCATGCCAAGACCATCCCGCCCCTGGATATGGCTTTCTCCAATGTCTTTGTCCTGCAGCCCCGGGGGGGGCATTGGCTGCATGCCGGCCATGAGCAGGTGAGCAGTTACCAAAGACGCATATTACAAGTTTGTTAAACTGGAGTCAGACAGGGATATGTGAAGCAAGATATGAAGCCCACCCAGTAAAGATAACAGGACACTTATTTTGGCAAGTGTTCAGGTGAGGAATGCGGAATGGATGCAGCATGAGGCGGTGGATCCGGATGTTGAGGAGGTGAAGGAACTCTACAAGGAGAGTGACACCGACTGAGAAGGCCCCCGTTGGGCGTGTAGCTGGACTCGCTTGGCTTGGTGAACACGTTTGCGTACAGCCCTAGCCCCCGGGCACCGATTTTAGCCCCCCTCCCCTGCAGGCGTGTAGCTTGCAGGGGCGGTGCAGGGACTGCCTTTGAGCGCTTGGGTGCTGACTTTCAAGCGTGCGGCTTGACGGAGTTTCAGCATCAAGGTGTGTACTGAATGTGTACTGAATGTGTACTGAGTGTGTACTGAGCAGATTCAAAGTAAAGATGCCCTGAAGGTCATCCCAAGCATTGGACGTTCGCCCGCTGACTCTTGAGCAATTGGACAGGACCAACCCTGGCGGCCAAAGCGGCCGCCGGGTAGGCAAGGTTGCTCAGTGCCTTGAGAGCAGGATACTCCCCGCAGAGGATTCATTCTGGGAATGCTAGCCTTGCGCAAATCCACAAGTATCCTGCTTGCCAAGGGCGATACCAACTCCCGAAATGTGAGCCGCGCAGAAAGGGCGACCAGATTGAGCTCCTGTGTGGAATGCAGCGCATTCGTGTACCCCTTCAACTAGTTGCGTTGCAGGCTTTCGAGTTGTTGTTTGCCCGGAACATGCGCCTAGGCGTTTGAGTGGTCAGACCGTGACCGGTGAAGGCCTTCGCCAAGGCCGGGCCCAGATCAAAATTTATCGCCTCCGGCTTGCCGCCGACATAGAAAGGCGGCCTGAGTTTGCACATGTTTGCGCAGTCATTTTTCTAAATGAGGTTCCTTCAACATATGCGTGCAAGCAACATGTACGTAAGGGATGGGACATCAACTTAGGCAGGCTGAACCAACACCACGAAAAACGACAGGGGGCTGACTAAAAGAACGATAACGATGTCTAGACCTGTGCGATCTTATGCAAATATGTCCTGCTGTGTACGTAGTAGGAATTGCAATTTGCAGCCTGCACTGTGGCTCCAGATGGCTTGGAAGCTTGAAGAAAGGATCAAGCTCACTGATGGGAAGCTGCTTTGGAAGGAAGTAGTGACGGAGTATTTGTAGGGTTGCTGCTCATCCACCCCGGCCCGGTCAGGATGGCGTAGGAGTGCATGGCAGCGTTCATGTTGGTTTCTTTTGTGGGAGCAAGTAGCGGAGAAGTGCCTATAGGGTTATTGCTGGCCAGTGTGAAATGCAAACCAGAGGCTGCAGGCGTTGCATGTCCTTGAGAATGGAAGATGTTGGACGGGCCCTGCAGCGTAAAAAACGCGGCCCTGGGATAGTGCTGCCACAGGCTCCCATCATGTTGTTGCATGTGGAGGCAGAATTCCAGTCTCAGAGGGCACCCCAAACAATAACCCAAGCAATAACGAAGCGCTAACGGAAATAGCTATTTGAGTGCCCGGTGAAACCGGTTGCCCTGTTGGTGGCTCGAAGCACACTGCAAGGCTAGAGTTGGAGTAGCATGTGCCGCAACGGCGCGCAGTGCGAAGGATACGGCCGATTTGGCAGCTTTCGAAAGAGATATTGCAAGACCCTTTGACAGGAGGGGCCCTTCTGGGAGGCACCAGAGCACGACTAGCACAAATTGAGAGAAGGCGACGTCGACAGCGGCAGCAACAAGCTGCCGGGGCTGTTTCCCCCAGGATAGCAACAGCAGCGCCAGTGGCAGTAGCGGCGCTGTTTTAACATGTGTCAAAAGTTACTGAGCTGCTGACGCTTGCTTGCGCGCATGCCCATATTGCAACAGAAGCCTCTTATGAAGAAAGCAGCCTTGTCGCTCTGAGTGCTTCGGACATTGGACAACTGGTTGGAAAGCCCATGTTCCCATTGCCAGCGAAGACTTTCTTGTTGTGGACTCCCTTGCCAGAACCTTCTTGGGTTGCCTGCCCAGTGGACACCCTGAAAAAAATAGGGGACTCACCAATTCCAGATGTCCTTACCTTAGAAGTGAGCTCGCGTGGGTTTCCGAGTTGAGTTGATGCGGAAACTCGGAGGTGCAACAAGCAAACTTTGGTTGGCAGTGCCTGTTTGCATTTGCCTTTGCTTTTTTTGAGCTGCTGGACTGAAATCTGATGCTCTTATCGTGCAGCACGACGGTCACACCTCTTACAAACGCCACAAGCATGTTTACAACGGCATTTGATTGGCGAACTGCGCTTCCAGCACGGCGAGCAGATTCACCGCCTGTCGCTGCTGTTCGTTGTTTTCAGGGATAAGGCTCGAAAGGATAGACCAAATGCAAATGCGTAGGGGCTGCTGTGCCCATTCTCAGTGAAGAGTGAAGAAGGGTGTAGTGAAGCCTCGGAAAGCCAAGGTGAGAGACTGACAGGAGATTCAGGGCTCACAGGGGGGTGCGAGGAGAAGACGAGCGGGAAAAAGACAGTGGGCAAAGTATTTCGCACAAAGCCCGAACAAGATGAAGGTGTTGAAGGTCGGAAAGCCGCATGTGGGGTCGTTACTGCTTGCTCCTGGGTTACCAGGCTAGCCTCCACAGGCAGGGCACTTAGCCTTGCCAACAGGAAAGATCTAGTGGAGACGAAACGGCGCGCACACACGCCCAGTCAGTTGCTGTGTAGCATTCAGCTAGATCGGGGCGCGCAGATGTGTATTGAGTGTCACAAGCCATGATGAGGTGTTGTTTCTGCCTCATGCCCCTGTGAAGACCCCTGTCTCGGCTTCAGCAACATTGACTTCAGGCGTGGTTTGCGCATGGTGCGTTTCGTCGATTTGCTGTGCTCTTGCCACTGTCAGGCTGCAATCATACCATGTTGTTTTAGGTATGCGCGGGCACTTCAGTCCTTGCGCAGGCTAGGATGGAATGTGACGTATCAAAGGAGCATCAGCGGAGACGACTGCAAAAAACCAACAGGTGGCTAGGCCATGGGCTTGGAGCTCTAGGGCAAAAACTTGAGATGTGTAGGGATGTCAGACATGTGTCGAGCGGCCTGTGATGCTGATTCGCGCTCTCCATGCTTGCCCACTGCATCGCAATGCAGTAGCTACGTTGGGCATGAGATTCACGCGTTCCGTTCTTGATTCGTCATGTTTGATGGCTGCATTTCCGAGGCTGTTTGTTGACCCGTCCACGCCCAGCCCTCGCCATGTTCGGCTACCCCCTTGCCTTGGGAGGACTGCCAGTGATCGTCCGAGACCGGCGCGTGGACAGGTCTGGGCCGCCCCACGTGGCCACAGTGAGTATCGGCGGCATCCGCATGGGTGCCATCTCGCTTGACGGCACGTCCTTGGGGTCGCTGGGCGCTCCCTTCCCCGGGGCCGTCCACCCGCTCCTGGACCTGATGAGAGACTCCCCACGGGACTCCCCGCGGGACCACTCTTTGACCCTGGAGCTCTACCACGAGACCAGCGAGGAGGCGGCTGAGAGGATCCTGAGCTCGCAGCGCATGCTCCGGGGCCAGGGCGGTCTGGCTGGCGGGGGCAGCTACTTCGCAGAGAGCCCGGCTGAGGCCCGCAGGAAGGCCAATCAGCATGGGGCGATGCTGAAGGCCACTGTGCGTGTGGGTCGCATGAAGGTGGTTCAGCGCCAAGGGAGCACCACCTTCACACAGCTCGTATCCGAGGGCTACGACTCCGTGAAGATTCTTGGTCGTGACTCTGGCACCGAGTATGTCGTGTACAACTGCGCCCAGGTCACCAACATCCGCCGAGTTTAAGCCCGGCGCATGGTGTTTGTGTACAGCCCTAGCTTCCGGGCACCGATTTTAGCCCCCCTCCCCTGCAGGCGTGTAGCTTGCAAGGGCGGTGCAGGGACCCCACTGCCTTTGAGCGCTTGGGTGCTGACTTTCAAGCGTGCGGTTTGACGGAGTTTCAGCATCAAGGTGTGTACTGAATGTGTACTGAATGTGTACTGAGTGTGTACTGAGCAGATTCAAAGTAAAGATGCCCTGAAGGTCATCCCAAGCATTGGACGTTCGCCCGCTGACTCTTGAGCAATTGGACAGGACCAACCCTGGCGGCCAAAGCGGCCGCCGGGTAGGCAAGGTTGCTCAGTGCCTTGAGAGCAGGTTACTCCCCGCAGAGGATTCATTCTGGGAATGCTAGCCTTGCGCAAATCCACAAGTATAACTCCCGAAATGTGAGCCGCGCAGAAAGGGCGACCAGATTGAGCTCCTGTGTGGAATGCAGCGCATTCGTGTACCCCTTCAACTAGTTGCGTTGCAGGCTTTCGAGTTGTTGTTTGCCCGGAACATGCGCCTAGGCGTTTGAGTGGTCAGACCGTGACCGGTGAAGGCCTTCGCCAGGGAGCAAAGGCCGGGCATAGATCAACTTTGGCCAGCATACACGTACTTGTTGAAGTCGCCACAGCTTTATGTTGGAGTTGGTGTGCCATGCGGATTCCAACTTTTTTGGGTGCATGGATGGATTGCGTTCCATGCGGGGTGGCTATTCGCCCATAAAGTGGCGGTGACTTCCGCGGCTGCGTGTCGGACGTATGTGTGTGTGTGTGAACCGCTCAACAATGTCGTAAGCGACCGGTGTCAATGTGCAGAATCATGGGTAGTGTTTTCCCTGCAGAAGTTGGCTTTCAGGATCCAGAAGCCGTTCTGTCTTTAGATGCTTTGGGAGGCAGTCCTTTCTTGATGGTCCCTGCAAAGGAAAAGCTGTCATCCGTATTCCACATTAGCGGGCGGGAGAGCACCCTGGGCCATCAAAATTCATCCCTATTCCAGGTTAGTGGGTGGGAGAGTACCCTGGGCAATCAACATGTGAGGACAAATATTTGCTGCATAAGGTCTTGGGGAAGGCATCGCAACCAGTTTTGGCACGCATTGTCTTGAGCTCTTTGAAGTGCCCACCAACTGATGAAAGTAAACCCAGCGACAGACCCCAATAGCAATAGCAATTGCCCCGCAACGTTCGGAATTTGCCAGGCCATGGAAACACAAGCCTGGGCAATGGAACGCCAACTGGGACACTGCCACTTCAACCGGCACACTGACAGAACACTGGAACACTGACCGCGACTTGAATACCACGTGGTCACCACAAGGACGCCACAGTGACACCGCATGCAAACCACCAGGACACCGCCCAGACATCGCTGGGCACCACCAGGACACGCCGAGGCCACCACCCGGACCCCACCGGGACACCAGCGAGATAACACCAGGACACCACCAAGTAATATCACTGAGAAAGTGATCAAACATAACGCCGGGGCACCACTGATACCAGGATTCAAATGGGACGCAACCACCAGGCTACCATTAGCAGCAAACCACAACCAGGTCACCTTCGGAAGATAACAACGACACCACCGAGACACAGGTTGGCCACTACTGGGATACCACCACCAGGACACCACCACCGGGGCACTGGCACCGGGTCGCCGCAGGACACCGCCTGAAAAACAATCCCCCACGCCACAGAGACATAACACATCAACGCACCATTTGGACACCGCAACACCACTAGGACGCAGCGGAACACCACCGGCCAACAACACCTACAGTACCACCGGAAAACTCACCGGGACACCGGGAGACTACTGGGACACACCGGGACACCACCGGAGCAAAACACCAGGACACCATCAGGATACCAACATGCATGACACACCAGGCGCACAACTAAAACACCGCGACGCCACAGAGACATGACATGACACCGGGACCGCCGAAAAAGCAACAAGACGCCGCCCGGAGCACACAATATTGGGACACAACTAGGACACCGCCAGAACATAACGGGACATAACGACAACGCACCACTGGGACACCACTGGGACAGCGCGAAACACCAGAGGAACACCACCACGACACATCCATGGGACGCAGCGAAACACTACGGGGACAACAGGGCACCACTCGGGTTCGGACGCGGCACCGCGGGGACACCATCTCCACAACGGTGGCCTCCCTTCATCCTGGCCTTGCCCAAGTAAGGAAAGGATAGAACAAGAAAGATGAAAGCAAGAACACGATGAAGGACACTGAAGCGGGGCAAGCGGAACGGACACAAGGCGCAGCACTGGGACACCACTGGGACACCACTGGGACACCACTGGGACACCACTGGGACACCACTGGGACACCACTGGGACACCACCGGCACACGACTCCGAAATACCACGCAGATATAACCCACCAGAACACCATGGGACACCACAGGGAGCCACCAAAACGCCATAATATAAAAATACAGGAACACCAAGGGTACACCGCCAGACACCGCAGGACATCACCCAAACATCACCAAAACCAAACTGGGACACCACAGAACACCACCGGAACACCACCGGAACACCACCGAGCCACCACCTGGACTCCAAGGGGACACCACCATAACAGCACTTGCCGGGACCACCACCAGGACACTGCGTCACCGGAACACCAAAACATCACCGGGACAACATCAGCAGGACACCACCAAAACACGGCATGCCACCTCCGCAACACCACCACAGGGACACCACCTTTGGGAGACCACTACGGGTATCACCGCCGCCAGGACACCACCATCACCGGGGCAACACCGAAATATGGAACACCGCCAGCGGAACAGAACACAACCTGCGGCACAGCATCACGCCGACACCACCGCACCACCACCAGGTTATCATCAGGACAACCAGAACACCACCGGGACAGCGGCACCAAGATACCATGCAAAACACCACCAGCACACCGACGAGACAACACCAGGTTACGACTGGCAAAGCACTGGGGCAACACCGGCGCATAACAACGGGACACCACCAAAACACCACCGGGACGCTCATTGCAGCAACACAACCAGGCCACCACCAAAACACAGCCGCAACACCACATGCCACCAAGACTACTACTACTACTACTACTACTACTACTACTACTACTACTACCACCAAACCATTGGGACACCAGAGCACCAGTGGGAAACCACTGGCACTGCGACACCCTTCAGAACACCCGCTGAACACCACTGGGACACCATCAACACACCAATACTGCCAAACACCATCATCCATGGCCGGGACGCCAGCCGAACACTACGCGGACATCGCCTAAACACTTCCGGGACAACACCAGGAACACCAAGGATCAGAACACCACCGGGACACTACCGGGACACCAACGCAACACAACCAAGACACCACCGAGACACCACAGGACACCACGGGGACACTACTAGGACACCAACAAAGAGAGCGGGTCGCCGTGGGGCCTGGAGGTGTGAAAATTAGGTTTTTAGTGTTTTCAAGACTTTGAGCTGCGCAGGAGACAAATGTGCGCTTTTTTCACCTAAAGGCTTTTGCGGTGCGTTGTTGCTTCTATACTTAGCTGGTGGGCTTGCGCAAAACTGGCCAAGCAAGGATACAGATCATGAACATGTCAAACAAATTGAGAGTCAGAAGTAGGCATACATGGCAATGCCCTTTTATTGCTTTGAGTGTTGTGCCCAAAATTGTTAGCCTGTTGCAAGCAGACACTACTGAAAAAGATTGTCCTCCCAGAAGCATTCCCTGCTTCTAGCTGGCAGGCTTCTAGCATATGTCTAGCGTATGTCTAGCACATGTCTGGTAGAAGTCAAGCATATGTCTGGTATAGTTCTAGCATATGTCCGGCACATGTCTGGTATAGTTGTAGCATATGTTTAGCAAACTTCTGGCATATGTCTAGCATCTTTCTGGTAAAAGTCTAGTGTTTTCTTTGATAGTTCTAGTACAGAGCATTTCTCTAGCATATGTCTTGTATTGTTCTAGCATGTGTCTAGCGTGTGTCTAGTATACTTCCAGCATATGTCTGGAATATGTCTTCTCTACCTATCTATCTCTACCTGTGTCTATTTAGCTCCATCTATTTCTCCATTTAAGAAATCATCTATCTATCTATCCATCCATCCAGCCATCCATCTATCAATATGTATTCCGTTTTTTCTAGTCTGCAAATCTGTCTTTCTTCTATCTTTATAATCAACCTATCTGTCTGTCTGTCTGTCCAAGTATCTCTCTATCCATCTATCCATGTTCCCATTCATCTATCTATCTATGTATCTATCTGTCTATCCATCGATTTATCTAAACCTACCTAGATCTATCTATTTATACCTACCTGTATCTTTCTATATCTATCTTTCTATCTATCTATCTATCCATCCATCCATGCATTCATGCATCTATCTATCTATCTATCTATCTATCTATCTATCTAGCTAGCTAGCTATCTATCTTATCTATCTATTCTATCTATCTAGATATCTAGTTTTCTATCTATCTATCTGTCTGTCTGTCTATCTATCTGTCTATCTATCTATCCATCCATCCATCCATCCATCCATCCATCCATCCATCCACCTTTCTATCTGTATCTATCTTCATTTACCTATATCTATCTACTGTATATCTATATATACCTATCTATATCTATGATGACAAATGTACCTTGTTTTTTGTTTTTCACCCAGAACATCAAGAACCTCGAGTTTTCCAAAAAAATAAGCACCAAATTGGCAGACCCTATGCCTCTCAGTATGACTGACATAGGGTCTGCCAATTTGTGTTTTTTTGTTTTTTTACCCAGAACATCAAAAAACCTCGAGTTTTCCAAAATGTTAAGTTCACGTGTTGCATAGTCTATCAGCCAAGTGTGCGACCACTGCAACCTTGGCTCTGTTAAAACCCTCTAGGCCCCGTGCCTAAATTGGGAAGCAGTTCTGAGGTCTATGTTTGTGT